TATAGACTTTTGAAGTAAGTCCTAATGATTGTTTGGATTTCCTCAGTGTCTGTAGTTATGTCCCCCCTTTCATTTCTGATTTTGTTGATTTGGGTGGTGTCTCTCTGCCTTTTAGTTAGCTTGGCTAAGGGTTTGTCGATCTTGTTGATTTTCTCAAAGAACCAGCTCTTGGTTTCATTGATTCTTTGAATTGTTTTATTTGTTTCTAATTGATTGATTTCAGCCCTGAGTTTGGTTATTTCCAGCCATCTACTCCTTTTTGGTGTGTCTGCTTCTTCTTTTTCTAGGGTTTTTAAGTGGGCCATTAAGTTGCTTGAACGAGCTGTCTCGAATTTCTTCTTGAAGGCACTTAGTGCTATGAACTTTCCTCTTAGCACTGCTTTCATTGTGTCCCACAAGTTAGGGTATGTTGTGTCTTCATTTTCATTGAGTTCTAGAAAGGCTTTAATTTCTTTCTTTATTTCTTCCCTGACCCAGCTGTCATTTAGTAACAAGGTGTTCAGTTACCATGAGTGTGTAGGCTTTTTGCTATTTCTGTTGTTGTTGAAGTCCAGCTTTATTCCACGGTGATCAGACAGGATACAAGGGATTATTTCAGTCTTCTTGTATCTGTTGAGGCTTGCTTTGTGACCAACTATATGGTCTATTTTGGAGAAGGTTCCATGAGGTGCTGAGAAGAAGGTAAATTCTTTTGTGTTTGGGTGTAAAGTTCTGTAGATGTCTGTGAGGTCCATTTGATTCATGACCTCTGTCAGAGATATTGTTTCTTTGTTTAATTTCTGTTTTGTTGACCTGTCCTTTGTTGAGAGTGGGGTGTTGAAGTCTCCCACTATTAATGTGTGGGGATGTATATGTGGTTTAAATTTTATCAATGTTTCTTTTAGAAATGTGGGTGCTCTTGTATTTGGGGCATATATGTTCAGGATTGTGATGTCTTCCTGGTGGAATTTTCCCTTGATGAGTATGAATTGTCCTTCCTCATCTCTTTTTATTAATTTTGGTTGAAAGTCTATTTTATCAGATATTAGAATGGCTACTCCTGCTTGTTTCTTGGGTCCATTTGCTTGGAAAGTCATCTTCCAACCTTTTACCCTCAGGTAATGTCTATCTTTGTGTCTTAGGTGTGTTTCTTGTATGCAACAGATTGCTGGGTTTTGTTTACGTATCCATTCTGTTAATCTGTGTCTTTTTACTGGAGAGTTGAGTCCATTGATGTTGAGAGAGATTAATGACCAGTGGCTGTTAGATCCTTTGATTTTGATGTTGGCTGTGGTCATAAGGTTGTGTGCTTGGTTGCTTTTTGTTTTGCTGTAGTAAGGTTAATTATTTCCTGTGTTTTCTTGACAGAAGCTAATTTTCTTGGGTTGTATTTTCCCTTCCAGTGTCTTCTGTAATGCTGGATTTGTGTGTAGGTATTGTTGAAATTTGTTTTTGTCATTGAATATCTTGTTTTCTCCGTCTATGAGGACTGAGAGTTTTGCAGGGTATAGTAGCCTGGGTTGACATCTGTGTTCTCTTAGGGTCTGCATGATATCTGTCCAGGCCCTTCTGGCTTTCATAGTTTCTGTTGAAAAGTCAGGTGTGATTCTAATGGGTTTGCCGTTATATGTTACTTGGCCTTTTTCCCTTGCAGCTTTTAGTATTTTTTCTTTGTCCTGTATACTTACTGTTTTGATTATTATGTGGCGGGAGAATTTTCTTTTCTGGTCAAATTTGTTGGGTGTTCTGTAGGCCTCATGTATCCTTATTGGCTTCTCCTTTAACTTGGGGAAATTTTCTTCAATGATTTTGTTGAAAATATTTTCTGGGCCTTGGAGAAGGGAGTCTTCTTTTTCCTCTATTCCTATTATTCTTAGGTTTTGTCTTTTCATATTGTCTTGGATTTCTTGGACGGTCTGTGTCAGGAATTTTTTGGATTTAACCTTTTCTTTGACAGATACATCGATTTCTTCCATTGTATCTTCTACACCTGAGATTCTTTCTTCCATTTCTTATATTCTGTTGGTTATGCTTACCTCTGTAGTTCCTGTTTTCTTCCCTAAATTTTTCCTCTCCATTATTTCCTCCATTTGTGTTTTCTTTAATTTTTCTAGTTCTATCTTCAGGTCTTGAGTTGTTTTGTTTACTTCCTTCACCTGTCTGCTTGTATTTTCCTCTTTTTCTTTTAGTTCCTTCAACTCTGTGTCTTTGATTTCTTTCAGTGATTTAATTATTTCTTCTCTGAAGGCCACAAGCTGTTTGGCTGCATCTTCTGGTATTTCTTCACGGATGGCCCTAATTTGCTTGTCTTTATCTTCCTCCATTTCTTTACGGATAGCCATGATCTGTTTGGTTTTATCTTCCTCTAATTCTTTACGTATTTTATTTGCTTCCTCTATTATCCTCTTCATCAACATAGATGTAAGGTCATCTTCTTGATTTTCTATTATGCTGCATTGTTCAGGGCTGTTCGCCCCTGGATGGCTGGGTTCTGGAGATGCCATATTGCTCTGTCTTTTGTTGGTTGAGCCTTTACGCTGACCTCTACCCATTGGGCTGATTTAGGTTTTGGCTGTTAGTTTCTGTGCTTCCTGGAGTCCTGAGGTAGGGAGTATCCCCTTGGCCGGAAGATGATTTTTCCTGAAGGAGTCCTTCTCTGCTTTTTGGTTATGGTCACTGTATGGCCAGTGTTTCTCCGGAGTTGCCACTGCTCACCTCAGGTTTATAGCCCTGAGTAGTAGCTGTGGTCTATGTTAGGTAGGGGGGGATCTCCTCTTACCCATAAAATTTCTCAAGACAGCTGCCCCACTGTTGGGTTTCTTGTTATAAATTTAGTGTGCTGCTGCTCACTAAATTTCCATGTACAGTCCTCTTGAAGAGACTGCTGATTCCCTAACTGTGGGGTTTTCTCCCAACAGGGAAACTCAGTCTGTTATCCTGGGGCGCACAGTTCTGTCCGGGAAAGTGGGAGGTGCACTCAGCAAGTCTCTGGGCCAAAGGCTGGTTGCTCTGCTCTGGACCTGAAGGATGTGCACCTAGGTTGAGTTGGCGCCTGGGGGCACTGTTCTGGTCTGGAGGCTGGGTGCCTCACTCTGGACCAGAAGCTGTGTGTCTCTGTCTGGGATGGCGGCTGTGGCACCGCTCTGGTACAGACGCTGTGGGTGCAGCCCCCCTGAAGGATCAGGGATTCCTACAGTTTTGGCAGTCCAGCCAGGGACAACTGGCCGATCCCTGGCACAGTATCTGAGGGCTGCTGTAATGGCTCTTCGGCTCCTGCAGGTCCGAGGATGCAGCTGTGTGTCCCAGTGCCCCAGGGGAACGCAACAATGGCGGCAAAGCACAGCGCTTCTGCCTGCAATAGAGTCTGCGTGAGTCCAGGAAGTGTTTTGGTGCTGGGTGTCCTAAGCGTTAGAGCTGCTGACCCCCTCCGCTGGGGGTTTCCTCCTGCCAGAGACACGCAGTCTGGTGCCCTGGTGCCCTGGTGCCCACAGTTCTATCTGAGGCAGCGAATCACGCGCGCAGACAGGGCTCTGTGCAGGCGCCTTTGTCCCGGCAATGGGTCTGCGCTGGCTCTTGGGGCACCCGCGGAACCCGAGTCTTTTCCAGGGAATGTCTGGGTAACCTGGGGTCGGTCCCAATTGTTTCCTGCTCCGTGGGGTTATCTCTCGACTGGGAAATCCAGTCTATGGTGTTGTGGGCCCACAGTTCAGTCTGGGACCGTGACCAGATCGCGCTGGCGGGTAGCTCTGGGCTGGCGACCAAGCGCCTGGCGGAACGGGGATCTCTTCCGCGGTTTAGCCGGGTGAGTTAAAGCTGATCGAATCCCCCACCGTGGGGTATCCTCTCACCTGAGAAACACAACCACTTGTGTTTTATGGCCTCGAGTTCTGATTGCTGGTCACTGTGCCAATCCTGCTGTGCTGCTCCTCAGAATGAGAGTCCTCCCGGCGCCGCCATCTTGCCCCGCTTGATCATTTTTATGCCTTAGAATATCTGACTTGTACTCAGTTCTTAAGTGTTTGTCATGGAATGAACACAGGTTTTAATATAAACTTTATTATGTGACACCAATTTTTGATCATCTCCCTCTTTTTCTGTCATAGTTATTGTAATTGGAGGAAACTTTGGCCACACTAGACTAGCAAATGCACAGGGCACCAAAGGGGAATAATAAATAATGATATGAAATATGTATTAAAAAATTGCAGAGTTTTCCAAAACTAAACCAAACTAAAGTAGATGTTTTAAATCACTTCAGTTTTCTTTAAAAGAAGCAAAAACTTAGTTTATTAAAAAATACAGGCATCTATATGGGGGTATATATATATATATATATATATATATATATATGTATATATATATATGTATATATTCTGCATTACCGAAACAAGTAAGTTTGAATTATAAAACTTCATTCTAACTTCTTTCACCAAACCATTTTCCATCATACTAGTTACCCTCCTGGTTGCTGGGAAAAATTCTTGATAAAGAGCGATTTAAGGCAAGAGGGGCTGCAGTTTACAGTCTGCAGGCTGAGGGAAAGAGTCCATCCTGGTGCGATGGTCATGGAAGCAGGAGTTTGGAGAGGGTGGTCCTATTTTGTCTATGGTGAAGAAGCAGAGAGAGGCGAATATTGGTGCTCAGGTTGATTTTTCCTTTTTATGCAATCCAGAAACCCAGCCTTTTTTTTTTTTTTTTTTTTTTTTTTTTTTTTTTTTTTTTTTTTTTTTGTCACTACCTGCTTACTTTTGGCAGTGCTGCAACTCACAGTCATGGTGAACCTTTCTCATTTCACAGGATGTGATCTGTACAGCCTCTCACAGACACTCCTGGCTGGGTCTCTCCTCTTTGATCCTAGATCCTGCCTGGTGGACGATATTAACAATCATGCCAGCTCTTTACACTGCTCATGCCGTAGTTCCTTTCTCGTTAGTCACAGAAACTTCTCATAAATAGGGTACTCAAACTTTAAATTATTTTGAAAGTTTTATGATGGTGGTGTGCGTTTTGAAATTGCTCAAGCCGCCCCTAGAGGCATTTCAGGCCTGGCTGCTGTGTCAGATGTGCGTCAGTAGGTGGCAGAGAGGAGAAGAGGCCATGTCTGTGCTCCGTGTTCTGACTGCGAACATCTGAATGATCAGTAGCCTAACACTCCTTAAGAAAAGCGAGCATAAGATGACCTCCAGACGAGTGCCAGGAGGCACTGACAAGGAGCTAGCCTGAGACGCCCATCAGTCCACCGCTAGGGGCCCCAGACAAAGAACTACCATGCGGTCACCACCAGATCTGCCTCTAGGCAGGCCTGGATGGAGGGCCAAACCAGAGACTAGAAAAACCCCAGTCTGGGACTGCACCCCACTTTCGCAGGAGTGAGCCCAAGACAGAGACACTTGCACTCAGGAGAGCAGTCCCTGAATGTGGGGGTTGCAGATGAGCTGCTTCTGGGGGCACGAGTGTGGGAGAATCAGCGGGTCGACCAGCTCAGACATCTCTCAGGCCCAGATCCAGGACTTTTAATTGGCCCAACCCAACATCTACCCTATTGATGAACTGATGGAGTGTATGAAGAGGCTAGTCCTACAAATCCAAAACCACAGAACGTCCATGACACAGGGCAGCAACAGTATATGCAACAGGAGTCCCAGCGAGGTTCCAATATTGATAGAGTAACAGACCTTGGAGGCCTCATACCAGACCAATGAGTCTCTGCAGTGAGCATTTACAAGCAAAGAAGTGTGGACAAAAGGGTATATTGTGGAACACACTGTGACACACTGCAGCTTCCACAAGATTTTTTTCCCTCTGTTGTGGTGGGGGCGGGGGGAGATTGCAAGGGTGGGTATAAGGGGAGGAGGGAGGTGAGTGGGATTGGAGTACATGATGTAAACTCTACAGAGAACCAATAACGAGTTAAATAAATTGTTCAAAATAAGAAATGAATGTAAAATAACAACTATACAATATTGCATATGTTTTTATGAGGTTCTGTAGTAAGACTGTAAAACATATGAGTAAAATGAATTTTTATTAGCCTCTTATGTGAATGAAGTCATTTCTTATGTGTAGGAAAATAAAAATATGCAAGGTAGCTAGGGTTTATAGGAGCAATTTCTCTTTATATAAAAGTCAACTTGTTAAGGGAGGTTTGGGGCTTTTCTTGACCTTTTCCTAACTTCAGTAGGCAGCATATTGTTCAGGTAATATGTCCTTGCATTCTATTTCCATTCCATCCTTAAATAATGTCCAGGAGATGACGCCTAGTTCCAGATGAGCAAAAACTCACAACACCCATCTAATTTTTTTTTGTACATGTATTAGAAAAGTAGGTAGAAATGCTTTAAAGATAAAAAGAGCTTAGAGATACAAGAAAAATTATCACTGGTTTAAAGGGCGGCCATTCACCTATTTAATGTTTACAATACAATTTTGAAAGGTATACAGTAGGCAATGACTTACTCTCATTGATTTTCAACAGCCCATTGGCTTGTATAAGCCTAAAAGGGAAAGAAAAATCTACTATATTGATCTGAAAGGATAAACTTCAGTTTTAATTTGCAAAGTGAAAACAAAAAGAAAAACCAAGTTTGGTGGTGATCTAGCTGAGAGGGTAATAGAAAGAAGACCCCACCTTTGATGAGGAAAATGAAGAAATTGGAAGTGCAGAACGTGAACAGCGCGAAAGAGGCAAATTATATTCTTTGTGCCAAGTCAGGGTATACTCCTGAAAAATCCCATGATGAAGCTCATCAGGGAAATGACTCACAAGTGGAAGAAAAGGTTGAGTACAAGCTGAAACACTGTCTTGCTTCGAAAGAACCCGAGAAAGTTTGCTGAAGACTTGGTCTGAGATGGGCTGCAAAAGCGTGCCGAAGCAAACTGTGCATCATAGCACCTTTTGTACTTCCTGTAATTTTTCTCTTCTGTGGAATGATATAGTTTCTCCAGTAATATTCTGGATATCTAGGCATGTAAATAAAAGAGAAGATGCACTAAATTTTAGCCTTCATTTTCAGGTGTTCAATTTTAGCGTGATATTTGAGCCCTTAGTTGCTTGCATCTGTAAGACCATATTTGAATTACTTCCTGGAGAGTAGAGACATGGCCCACCAGTTAAGAGTGTTTATTGCTGTTGTCAAAGACCTGAGTTTACTTTATAGCACCCACATCCAGTGCCTCACAACTATCTATTATTCTACAAGATTCCTCTGGCTTCCAAGGGTACCTGCACTTGAACTCACTTTAAACGGATTAGGTCTTCTGGTACTATGTTGTGTAGCAGTGGTAAGAGCAGATATTTCTAGCTTGTTTTGGACATTTAATTGTAAACTTCACTATCGGTTGGTTTATTTGTTTTTGTAAATAGTCTTTCATAGTTTGGAAATTCTTTTCTCTTAAACCTTTTAAAACATTTACTGCATTTACTCTATCATCTATCTATGTATCTATCAATCTATCATCTATCTATGTATCTATCATCTATCTATATATCTCTTTATCTATCATCTATCTATCTACGTAATCTATCATGTATCTATTTATTTATTTATTTGTGTGTGCTTGTGCGTTTGTGCTCACGCATATGCCTGTGGAGTTTAGAGGCTAGCTTGCAGCAGCTGGGTCTCCACTTCTACCATGGTGGTCCTTAAGATTGGACTCAGGTCATCAGACTTGATGGAGAAGGTGTTACCCATAGGGCCATCTCTGCAGTCCCACAACCCTGGGGCCTGTCCTTCAGCTATTTGATCATTCATATATGCTAATTTTTGTCAATGTCTATAAAGATTTTGTTCTTCATTCTATTAGTGAGATAAATGTTACATGAACTGACTGTGAGATGTTAAGATAATCTTACATTTCTAGAATAAATCCTGCTTAGTTATTATGGGATTTTGAATGATAGCTTTTTTTTTTTTTCTCAAAAGCATTAAGATTTACTCTGGAAGGCAATCTAAAAGGCCAGCACACCAATTTTATCATGTCCAATTTTGACTCTAAGCTCTATTAGAGCTGAAATGTTTATCTTTAGTTCATAAGCGTAGTCCTTAATGCTGTGGCCTGGTTCCTCATACCAAGATGTCTAGTGTATGGATTCCCCTACCCATCTATTTAATATCTGAAATTTAGCAATGCTCTACAATGGCTGGGCATAAATGCCAGTCTATAACCTAACCCTGATCTTACATTGTTTTGCTGTTTTTGAAATCTCTGTTTAGCAGCTTCCTTCCCTGGGTTTCCACTTTTTATTAAAAAAACAACAACAACTAAGTTTATTAATTAAATTGATGGCTACCATACTAGACTCAATGTTTGTGTTTCAGATACCTAAAGCTTTATGTTAGCACACTAAGTGGCTAGATGTTCAAGAGTCTTGACAGCATTTGAGCAGCTTTCTTTTCATGGTTCCTTAGAATCCTGCAAAACACTGTTTCAGCTCATGAATTGACTTTGAATGCAGATAATAAGTATATTTGAAGTACTCAGCCACAGATGAAACATTTATGTCACATGCTCTTTCCCCAAAGTAGGGAACATTAGGGAGGAGGAGCCAGAAAGAGTGTAAGAGCCAGAGAACAGGGAAGACTCTTGAGAAACTGTATTTTTTGGGGGCACAATAGGGATGTCACACTGAGTAATTCACAGCATCTGTGGTTGCCTGGCCTATACGTGCACATGATACCAGCCAGTCAACATTCCAGATGGGTGGGTGGGGGAGCTCGTGAGGTCCTACACTCAGCTGAGGAGCTGTTGGAAGTTAATGGCTTCTTTAGAGAGGTAAGTAAGTTAGTTTTCTTCAGGGGTACATTACCTGATAGGCTGAGTATGTTCCAGTGGGTGGCTCCCAACCATGGAAATACTGGCAATGCTAATTGGATTCATTTGGACTCAGTGGAATCCCTCCCTCTCTCCCTTCCTCCCCCTGCACCCTCTGTGTATGTTCAAGAGGACAAGGAGTTGGTAAAGGAATATGATGGAGTGCGGTGGTTTGAATAAGAATGGTGCTCATGGCTCCATTCTTATTTGAATGGTTAATCATCAGGGAATGGTACTATTTGAAAGATTTAAAAGGATTAGGAGGTATGGGCTTGTTGGAGTGAATGTGGCCTTGTTGGAGGAAGTGTGTCACTGAGGGTAGGCTCTGAAGTTTCAAAAGCCCATGCCAGGCCCAGTGTCTGTCCTCTCCTGCTGCCTGTGTATTTGGATGTAGAGCTCTCAGCTACTTCTCCAGCACCATGTCTGTCTGTATGCCATCATATTCTAAGACAGGGGGAGGGGAGGGGCTAGGGGAAAGGGTGGTCTGGGAGGAGTTGGATGGATGGGTCAGGAATAGAAGAATAAAAAAATATATGTATAAAATTTTCAAAAATGAATAAAATTATTTCATAAATTTCTTAAAAACAGAGTTAACTTTGAGGGGAATCTTCAGAGACTTGCCCTCTTAGGTCTGGTGAGTTTTGTTGTTTGTGATTTCTTATTTTGCCCACTAAATCCAAGTTGCGTCTCTTAAGTTTCCATTCCTGCCACTTCTACCCATTGAGATTGTTTCAGTGATTAGGCATTGTACCACTTCACTTTAATTTGTAGATGCCTCAGGACTAAAGACAGGATACATGTGGGGTTATAAGTGCTTGGTTGTCTTTCATTTGAGACAGGGCCTCATTTCTTACTCTGGCCTTGGACTCTGTTTCTTACTGTCACCACTTTCCACGTACTGCGATTACAAGAACAGACTTTTACATCTGGCCCCAAATATTGTTTTCTGGCACCAAGGACTGAGCTCAGGGCTAAGCACATGCTAAGCACGTTTTCAATCAGTAGGTTTTGTCTTTATCCCATATCATACTTCATTTCATATGTGTTTCCTGTTCCTAAAAATCACTGCATTGGCTTCTGGGTAAGATCTGAACCATCTTTTAGAATTGTTCAAGGGGAGGATATACCAATACTATGTACCCACATGCCCAGTCAACCATTTAACAAAAAAATACTTTTGATGTTAAATTCTTTATATATCCTTTATTGATCTGCATAAGTCCTAAAATAAATTCCTTACTATTTCTTTTTTTATAGATCAAGGCATTGATACTCAGGAAGTTCAAGAGAAATGCTTTGCTTACAGTTGACTCATCCAGGAAAAAATACTAAAAATGGAACT